CTTTGTAAGTATGACAAGTTAGCCCTTCTTCCACTCAATCAACAGGTACCTTCCCTTCCCTCCTTCGAAGCCTTCTGCAATCGTGGTGTCAGCATGTCGGCTTCTGATGTCTCTGCGTCTGTTTTCAGTGCTTCTGGAGGAATTCGATCTGGTCCTGCTGCTTTAGTGGATTTCAGCAACTTTCTGGCATTCAGGACTTCACTTCTGCTTTTGTCGGAGGGCTTGTGTTCACTGGTAATTCTGTGGCTGTGCTGCTGGTGGTGGTGTTTCTCGACGAGTTGCAGGCGTCAGTGGTGGTGGTGGTCGACTCAAGAGTCTTTTTGAAGTGATCAGTCCATCGTTTCCTTTGTCTCTCCTCTTCCTTTGGTAACTAGGTTTCCTCCACTATCTTTCACTGGTTTCACATCCGTTGATCTCTCCTCTCTCAGATAGTAACCTGATTATTTGATATACTGTTGTCAGGTCTCTGTCTCTGTCTCTCCTACTCACAGCCTGTTCTGCCTAACTTGTCAATGTGTCGTAGAAGTGTCTTTTGTCTTTCCGTCCACTCTTCTTCATTTCTTTGTCCAGTGTAGTGTTTTATAGGTTGTGTTCACTTCCTCTTTTCGTTACTCATCACTGCACTGCACTGTACTGCATTGGTTCATCTTCTGCTTCACCATCACCATATTCCTCTCCCTCCTCCATCAGCTTCCATGTGTCTGTCGAGTTCCATCCCACTCCTTGTCTTCTCTGGTCTTGTCTTGTCTGGTTTCTTCATCCTTTCTAACACGGTTATGCAGGTTTCCTTCCACATAGCTTTCAAACAGTTCCAGTGTTCCTCAGATGTTGCTCAATATCTCTCATTTTGTCCTGATGGTTGACTGACATGGAGATGTCCTTTGAAGTTTCGTCCTTCAGTTCGGTTGAGTTGAGTTGAGTTTGTGTTGTGGGTGTTCAACTTGAACTGTGGTTATCTATCACCAGCTTCCTTGAATTGAATGCTTTCAACTTGATTTCGAAGTTGGGTGGGTAGGTAGGTATGTAGGTAAGTTCCTTACACTAGATAGTGAGTGGTGTGAGCCTACATGTGCTCCCCTTCTTCATCTTCATGTTCATGTGATCTCGTGTCCAGTAGGCTGTCTGCCTCTCCACTTTCTTCAGGTTGAGATGAAGTCGATCTGAGTTTTAGTGTAGTGTGGTGTGGTGTGTCCTGGTGTCTGGTGAAATCGAATTCATGTGGCTGCCTTGTGAATATCCTTGTGATTGTACACACTGCCTAGCTTCCAATCACCAAATCGTTGAGTGCACACAAGTCTGCAAACAGTTCTCCATTATCGTTTGTCATTTCACCAACTGCTTCGCAAACCATAATCAGTTCTTTGTTATCTTTGTTATCTGCTCCCAGTTTCGCATTGAAACATGTCACCCCAACCCACTCCACCCATTGCATTGGAATGGATTTTGATGTCGTCAGCTGTTGTGTGGTCTTGTCCAGTCTTGTCGAGTAGTGATTCCAGTTGTCCGCAAAATCCTTCCTGCTTTCCTTGATCCGCAAATCGACCAATTGGCTACCTGAAGGCGTTAACCAACCGGAGGGATAAGTTTATCTTTGTCTTTTGTGTTTTCACTGTGCTCTGAAGTTTCTTTCGTGATTGCATTTGTTTTCCGGTGGAGGGTTGCTTGCTCTGTCCCCCGCCTTCCCTCTATCTGGGCTTAGGCTCGGTTAGTAAATTAGTAAACTAGTGAACTGGGCGATGCTCGTGTTTGATGCAGCTTTGGAGATTCGGTCAGTTACCAGAACTAGATAATACGCAGTCAGCTGACCTCTATTACGCACGAACTCCTCCAGTCTGCCAGCACCAAGACACCCTATTTAGTTAGAAACATACCCAAGTTTCTCTACAGTAATGTGAGAGGACTTAGAAGTAAGCTAGGGGAATTATGATTTCTTTGTTCCTGCCCTGCTTTAACGATCATAATCCTAACAAAAACTTGGCTATCACCGGATAATAATGACGTCGAAACTGATATGCACGGTATGTATCTGTCCAGGGGAGACAGAGAGTCCAAAGAAGGAGGCGAAATGGCAGTGTTTATAAGTGACCTTTTTAAAAGTGAACGGGACACTGAAACTTTACTTTCAGGGCTTCCAGACTCCATTTGGTGTCAAGCATCTAGTAGGAGGCGTCTATTGAACTCCTACTAGCAACGTGGAAGATAAACGACAACTGCCACAAGTAATGTCCAGAGTGACGTCCATCAGGTATGACCAGGTTATTTTGGCCGGAGACTTTAATGTTCCAACTCTCAGTCTCAGGCAGGACAGGGGAACCTCAAGCCGAAGGTTCGACCGAAACCTGCTCAACACTATCAAAAGGCTGGGTTGCACGAGAACATTAGTAATGACACTCGCTGGTGGTCGGACGGAAAGCCATCCAAACTGAACCACCTTTTTACCAGTGACTCACTGCTAGTAGGAAATGCACAGGTTCAAACCCCCATTGGCAGCAGCGATCACGACGTGGTGGTGTTCGATCTGGTGCTCAACGAACAACTGTCGTGGAAGGGATCTCTCTCCTGTCTTTGCTACAGTGGGGCGAACTACGAGGTGATGAACCGATACCTGTCGATAACACCACGGCCCCAGGAGTGGAGCAAACTGTTGATTGACCAACGTTGGGAACTAGTCAGAGATATCACCAAGAGGGCTGTCTCTGAAAACGTCCCAGTAATCACAGCAACACCATGGAAGCGAACCTCATGGCTGAAGTGAGGCACTGAAAGCCTTTTGAAAACCAAGAGGAAAGCGTGGCACGAGTGGAGGACCTCCAGAAGAGGGTCTGACCACACCGTGTATATTGCTCTAAGAAATCGGTGTAACATCACAGTGAAAAGAGACAGGAGGTCTTTTCAGAGGAACCTTGCCTAAAAGCTCCAGGCAAATCCCAAAAGCTTATATCGGTCTATGGCAGGCAGAGAACCCGCCAGCCAGGGGGCTTGCGTCCTGAAGGCCTAGACGGAGAGAACCTCTCCGGACTAGGGGTCGCCGAAGCCTTTAGCGCCACCTTCGACACGCAGCTCAATACTTCCCTATCCAACCAAAATTACCAACTGTCCGACCGAAATTCAGCACCACCAGACGCAGCAGAGTTACCTGGAATAAAGGTAACTCCTGCTATGGTCCTCGAAAAACCGTCAAAGTTCCGCGCAGGGAAATCACCAGAGTGTGATGACGTCCAACCGGCTGTGCTGAAACATTGCGCAGGTGCTTTGTGCGGTCCTCTGTGCAACTTGTTTTAACACTCCTTAGACAATCACATGCTCCCACAAGAGTGGAAAAGTGCTGTTCTGTCCTCCATCTTCGAAGAAGGAGACAGAAGCTGCTCGACTTGGAGGACATCATCATCTGGTGTATCACAAGGGGCGATTCTAGGTCCATTCCTATTCCTTCTTTTTGTGAACGACCTCCCACTGAATCTCAGCTCCCCAATTCTACTCCACACTGATGATATTAAGTTACGGGGAGCCATGGCGTTGGGAACAGAATCAAGTGCACTGCAAAATGACCTCAGATTACTTGCAGAGTGGGTGGATAGTGATGGACTTCCATTTAACCTAGATAAGTGCCTTGCCATGTTTCTCCTCACCCAAGACCCTCAGAAGGTGCTGTATTCTCTCTCTGCAACACAACTTTCCCACACCACCATGGAGAAAGACCTAGGACTAATACTGACTGGCAAACTAGACACTGACCCCAATTATCCAGGAGATGCCTCCAGAGCCTACACAGTACTGCACCTCATATGCAGACAACTGGATGCCCTAACCTAGGAACTCTTTTTGAAGCTGTATGAGACCTTCATGCGACCCCACCTAGAGGTCCATAACTTCATTGCACCACCATATCTGGAAGGAGACGTGAAGCTCCTAGAGAAAGTCCAAAGGCGAGCTACAAAGGGTGTCATGGGAATGAGGCAAAAACCATATCAGGACAGGCTGAACGATCCAGGACTCTACTCTTTAAGCTACCGTAGATTACGTGGTGACTTGATAACGGCTTACAAATTACTAAATAACCCAAGTCATCCGAACAGTGGAATCCTACCGAACGGCCACTATGGCGATTCTCGTAGTAACTCAAGGTGAATAGCCCGCCAAAGAGCGAAAACCCATGGGAGATCACACTTCTTCCCTCCATGAGTTTGTGGAACTGGAACGCATTGCCTGCCGAGATTGCTACTGCACCGCCTGTTGACAGCTTCAAGAAGAGGTTGGGCAGTTACTCAGTGACGCACGGTTTGCACTCATCCAATGAGATGTGAACTAGGCTGACACGACCTACTAACTCTGTACGGCCAACCGTTACTGAATGCTTTGTAAAATCACTATCACTGGAAACTTGGCTAAACTTTATACCTTCCTGTAGGCGTCCCCTCCAGTTACCGTCTCCTACTAAAAGAATTACCATATTCTCATTCGTCCTATCATGTTATTTATTATTCTTCCTTCTGACTTTACCCTCTCAAACTTTAACAAAAGCTCTCCCTATCACCTGTTCCCCATGAACCCACCAAGGTTTTATTCTTCCATGCCACTTCCTTTTTCCCAATCGTTTTTAATATATATTATCCTTCTTCCTTTCTTCCTTCTCTTTTTCTATTTTGTCTCTCTCTGCACCTTCTCTCCTTGATTTCTCTGCACATGTTTTCCATCTCCTTTTTACAACCAGTCCGACCAATTGTCTGCTGGTACGACATTTGAGGAACCCATCTGCACTACAGTCCTCGGAAGAAAAAGCAAACAAACAAACAACACTCCCTACAAATCTAAACAAGGCCCAACTGCCTGTCGGGCTAACCAAAGCTACAGCAGTCGAGTGGGTAGACCTACTGCATTGGAATCCATCAAAGACCTGGAACCGTTCCGCAAGACCTAGAAGCGAGCTCGAAGGAATCAGTTGGTTTACACTAGCTCGTTAAAAGATATTGAATATTGGATATATGGGAGAAACTTTCAAACTGACTTGGTACCCGAGAAAAACGTGAGACCTCGAAAATTTCGTTATACATTTTTCGCACTCTGAAACAATTCCTAAAGTCGTATATTTGATCAAAATTTTAAAACCGAATCTCGTTGCAGAAATCCTGAAAAACGCCTATTGGGCACTCCCTGAGTACTGACTTATTATGTCTCGTCTCCATTCTCTGAAAACCTCACGATTAAAGTTATCCAATCGGGACCTTTACATCTCCATCCAACAGTTTTGCAACAATCAGTTTGCGATTCTAACATGAACACCATCATTCCAAACCCACAACTTTGGTATTTATAGCTCTCATATTTCAGGATGCTGCACCTTCTGCGCTTCATTCTCATCCACTCATACTCACTTGTAAATATCTGTTGAAACCTTTCAAAACCGCATAACTAGGCAACAGGAGGTGAGGTTGACAGACGTTTCAGATTATCCATTTTCTCTGCATCTCTGCTCATCCTTTTTAAAAAAAAGGAAAGTACTTATTTATTTATGCACAAAGTAACAGTGCGTTATCTTGATGAATTCCTGCCATGGAAGACTACCTAGTCTAACTGCGCAATAACGCTGACCTGCCTTGTTCGTTAGTGACTGTGGCTGTAGTTGAACTGTGGAAAAAACAATAAATTCAAGTTTATCATCGACGTCAGGTTAAGTCAGTGCATCATAGATAGCGACACCCCAGAATACTGGCCTTTATTTCTCACAGTACTTAAGTACTGTGTTCAAATTTGAACTCATGAACGAACTATTGCTGACCGTGGTGCCACGTTGAGGACGAACCCCAAACAACCTGTTAAACTGTCAAGGGAAAAACAGCTTAAGAATTACTGACCCAAATTTATCAATAAATTCATGATACGCTGTTAGCGAAATATGATTGGTAGTGTTAAGTGAGGTGTTAATAATAATAGTAACAACTGGCACTGTGAAGGTAGAATTCACAACCTCTACGTTGTTAGGATACAGGTGAGGCATTTCAGAAACGTTACGGAAAGTGCTATTTAAACCTAAAAGCTCACTTACAGCGCACTGGCAGTACATATCACGTGTCTACTGGCAAACATTCAATGAGATTGCTATCTATTCGGATAAAAAGTGCTGATATTTCTTACATATGTACTTGAAATTGCCAACTGTATATGGTCTTAATGCTGAAAACTTTGACGTTTTTAGGTATGGTCCCTAGAGAGGTATTATTTTAGACAGTTACTATTATCAATTTGTTGAGTATATGGATTTCTGATAAGATTGCCTCTACTTTGAAGATGGTGAGTTGCAACTTTAAGACGATTTTGATTATTAGGGGTTCTCGTCCATGAGTGTGACTTATAATTGGCATTATAACAGTTCCTTTTGAGAGCAACGTCTCTTTCGCTTGAATTTACGGTAAATTTACATGAATCTCATAAAGGATCTTTATGACACTAGAATTGTTGGCTTACTCCTTGAAAAGATGAGCAAACGAGTAAGTGGCGGGGTTTTGCTATTTATGGCGCACTGATGGGATCCTATATGAAGAAATCTGCTGATCACTGTGAAAAGCAGACTGTGACAAGTGTTTCGTCCTGAGGTCTCGATTAAATGATGGGATGACTGTTTTTGACGGATATATTGCCTTGAAGTTGCTACCACTTTCCAAAGTCACTTTCAGACTAAACGTCACACGTATGAGCTTCATTTCAAGTAATCACCCATCCTCTTGATTACCCGTTTCACTTAAAAACATATTCATCTCTGCTTAGAAGTAGCAAAGAGGCTGACAAGCTAATGGCAAAGATGAGCCCATGGTCATGGCAAGCGTACGAAAAACAAAATTTAATGATCATCTACCATGCTAAATGAAGTTGCAAAAAACGAACATCTGTGGACTTCCAAAAAAAGTGTAGCGCGGGAGATGAAGTGTCAGTGCAGAAGGCATTGGACAGCAGACGTTTTACTGTATTTAGGGCCACCAACCCTGAAAAATGCCCTTCCTCTACTACTGTTACTGAATTCATATGACTCATTATCCATATATATCTTGGGTCATACCAAGCTTTGGGAAAATTATGCGCAAAATACTACAAATCTTTTTAGAAACTTTCAATAAGAATACAAAATGTGTCATGATCCGAAATACCTTGTTTACCATGTACATTCCATAAAGCATTTGCTTGATAATGCGCTTAATCACATGCTTCTGCTAACCTTTTATACTTTCCTACATTATTCATACGGCCATATATTCGGGGAAACTAAAGTATATTTCGTTTTTCATTAATGTTTAGGAACTTGTCTATACTTTCGACTGCCTCAAGGAAAACTACATATATACATATTCATCCAATTTGAATCCGTGGTATTAAACCACCTAAACTACGATATGGACGTAAATTAACCTTTAATCGGTCCCTTATCACGCCGAAATTATTTGTTTGAACCCTCGTAGAAGAATCTAAGGATTATTGTTTGAAGAATAAAAGTACGCACCAGGTTCTTGAAGTTGGATATAAGATGAAAGCTTATAGATTTTAAAGTACAAACTTTGCAAATTAATTCATAATGCAACAGACTAAAAAGCGAGCGGATTCTCTGATCGCTTGCGCTGCTTTGTGACTTAGTGGGTATTGCAAAATGGCTTTGAATTAGGTGGTTGAATTCACGCAGTTAAAATAAATGTTTTGATTAGGTTTTGTAGTGTGTCAAACCTAATACTAAGCATTCTCCTGTCTGAAATTCTTTTTTCATAGTTTCATCTTCGGAAAATTTAGGCATATGAAAACCCCTTCAGGATTAGCAAATAGTGTAAGATGTTAATTAGAAAAATAATTTTCTCTGACTGATTGACGGACAAAATCAATGTAGAACCTTGCACAGAAATGCTGAAGTTGCCACACTACATAGCAGCATGCAAAGGACAGGTGGGTAGAAAAGGAGTGATATCATAGTACATAAAGTAGTGTGACAGAATAAACAATCTGAAGATAAAGGATAGTGTGAATATTCAAGCTTTAGAAGATGTCAAGGAGTGAATACACCTGCTCCATTGTGACCTATTTTCAGTCGTCACAAAGAGTCTTCAACCATTGATTCTTATCGTTTCAGGGACCCCAACCAGACAATCTATATCTCCCCATACAACTCAGGCCAACAGTCAGGGACTTGATTGACTGGTGCCACGTCTCGGTTTAGCCACCCTGAACCCTTTTCCAACCTAATCCAACTTCCTCTACCGTGACACATCGAGGTAGGTGGTGGCTTGGCATGCGCAGTACATGTCTAACCATCTCTGTCGAATAAGGTTCACAACCTCATTGAGCGAACTGCCTATCTTACCTAGTACAATTCATCTGACCTCAACATTGCTCCCATGATGATTCCACCAAACGCAAGCAATGCTACGAAGACATCTGTGATCAGGTCCCTGCTCTTAGCTGTTAACGGCTATGTCTCGCAGCCGTATAACACAACAGAATGGACTGCAGTGCAGTATACTTGTCCCTTGATAGATAGCCGGATATCTCCCCGATGCCACAGGTGACGCAAGTTGGCAAGCCCCAAACGGGCCTTCTGTATCCGAGCTGAGATTTTGTCAACGACAAAAACACGCGGGTTGATGCAACTCCACAAGTGAAGTGATGAACACATTCCACCATTTCATTCCATTTCATTCATCATTAAGCTTGGAGTACTTGCGACGAACCAGTCATTGATTATCATCTTACATCTAACAGGTGCCAGCGAAACACATGCCTAACATAAACAGATTTCCGCTCAACGGGTTCAGAAGACCCTGTATTTTGTTCACGTAGCAGGACAATATCGTTTGCATATCCCAAGTCAACAAGATGACCTCCAGAGAGTAGGTCAATCCCTGCGAAGTCAAACGCACCTCAGCTTATGTACATTAGTACGTCTATTAGAAGTCAACTAGGAACAGTGGCGAACACCGTTAGTTGTCGTCAATTCGCATGACAACTCTCCATAATCCCTGACATGGATGACTGAGTTCGAGTAGAGAGCTTTCTTGATAAGCGTTATATACTTGCTCAGTATTCTTTCAGTCAGACACTGTAACAACACCACACAGTCGACTGAGTCAGATGCACCCTTCACATCAAGAGATATAGCAAGTGTCGGTCATTGGGCGGTAAGTATCCCTGTGTTCCAGAACCTGTCATAGGGTAAAAATATGATAGATGCAACCTCGTCCAGCTGTCTGAAACCTGCCTGGCTCTCTCGAATTCGCTTTTCTCCAGCTCCAGTTAGGTGTTGCATAACTATCGATTCTAGGATCTTGGACACAAGATTAGTCAAACTAATTTCCCTTTGGTTGTCACAAGAAGACTGCCCCCCCCTTCTTATAGGATGATCAGAAGAGCAGACCAGTCTGATGACACTACATCTGACTCCCATACACCATCTAGTTCCTCCGTCACTTGTATCTACAGTTTCCTACCTCTCTCCTTGAAAACTTCGGATGGCAAACTGTCAGGTCCTACTGCTTTCTTTCGTTTCGAGGTTCGACACGGCTTTTTCAACTTCGAGGAGTTGGAGGACTGACATCTACATCCCATTCAGCTCCGGCCAGGCTGGATGTTGGGCAACTGGAGCGTTGCTCAGGGCCAGTTAGACTGTTCTTCAGAGTGTTCTGCCCAGCGTTCTAGCCTCTTGTCGTGGGAGGCAATTATCGTCCCATTCTTTTCGGTGGTGATTTCACTCACCATCGTCTTCTTCTTCCCGTATCCCTGATCAGCCTAAATAGTTACTGAGTGTTACCCAACGGTGATGCCTTCTCCGTCTGTCTCGCTCACTTTCGCCACCCACCACTGCTCGTGGTCAACGCGAACACTCTGAGGTAATTTACGTTCGAGTTGCTTTCGCTTTTAAACTGGTCAGAGCCCGCTGAAATCAGTCTTCCCGCATCAATCTGTTCGAATGACGTCACGGAAATCCAACGATCTTTGTTAACATCTGGGTGTAGGTTACCAACTAACTGTCTTTACTCGTTTCTACAACAGACT